TCAAAGAATTGGTATCTATTGGTCTTCACCAAGCTTATAATTGGACTTCATGGTGCTATTGGAGAAATGAATTGAAATCTATATGACTATCTTCCTCTCCAACATAGCAAAGGTATCATTGTATTGTGCATGATCATTTTTCATCCCTTACTAGTATGCGGTTAGTGCATATAGTACATGCTTATAGGATCATGCATTACAATTGAAAATTTTTAGATTCATAGACTACCACTATTGCTTGAATGATTATATGATTTAGTAGTTTGTGTATGAGTTTGTTCATGAGCTAGTGAACCCATGTACTTGATCTATTTTGAATTGCAAACAAGTGACAAGTACAACCTCTTTAAGATGACAAAGGGGGAGTGACAAGTAATATGACCCACGCCATGACAAAGATGGAGAGTTTAATACAAAAGGGGAGAGATTAGTACAAAGTTTGAACCTTAAGCACCCTTTGTGCTTTGTGTGACCCTTTTTGGCGATAGATGACAAAGGGGGAGAGATATGATTAAAGCTTAAGGAGGAGAGAGATGAAAGCTTAAGGGGGAGAGATATGTTTAAAGCTTCAGTAGTGCAACCTTGTGTCTAGCTATGAAAGGAGTGCAACCTCATGTCTAGCTGTGAAAGGGGGAGAGTAGCTATGACAAGGGGAGAGATATGACTTGAGAAATCTTTGTGATGAGTGCTATGTGTGTGATATATATGATGTATTTACTTTCATAAGGACCATGCATGTTTTAGAGTGACTTTGTATGGTGTGATGCTTTCTGTTTAGTCTTGAGTGATATATCATGTCATATGCATCATGGTTTTTTATTTTGACACACACTTGCACCCCACGGATGCAATGATTTAAGGGGAGGTCTCCTATGTGTTTTAGTATGTGCAAATTGATATTTGAGGTCATTTATGAATTCAATTCATATTGCGCACATTAAGGGGAAGCCTCTCATAAATCATTGAATCCAAAAGCCTAATTGTTTATATCTTTTTGTAAGCTTTAATCGGGTTGTCATCAATCACCAAAAAGGGGGAGATTGAAAGTGCATCTAGCCCTCTAGTGAGTTTTGGATGATTGAATGACAACACGATTAAATGACTAAATGTTTGCTAAGTGTTGGATAGGAAATTGATTATCTCACAGATACTTGATGAAATTGTATAAAGCCAAAATGATGTATTGTTGTATAAACAATCTAGTTCAAGCACAAGACAACAATACAAATGGAATTCATGCAAAGGCTTATTTATTGTGGGATTTCAATGATCTATGTGAAAGCAAGCACGATAAGAGTCAATTAATGAGATATGAGGGATTGCATATGGAATGGTCTCATATTTAAAGCTTGTTAAATTGAAATAAAAAAGGCAACAATACAAATGAATGGTTGATTTAATACAAGATGTGACTTGACGGCTTGAGATGGTGAAGATAGCAAGAAAAGGCTTCGAGGTACTAAGCAAGGGTGAAGGGCAAGCGATGGCTTGATGGCCGAGGAACCTAGCTAGGGTGAAGAAGAAAGTACTTGCATTTAGTTGAGGTACTAATCAAGCTATGATGGTCATATTGATGTGGAGGATCAAATCTATATTGGACAAGTTGATGAAAGTGACTTGATGCATTTGGAGTTATTCATATTTGATGAATGGAATCAAGTCACGTGCTCAAGATGGCTATGCTCAAGTGACAAGATCAATATTGACATGTTGGCACCCTCACTTAATGAAGATTGAAAGACACGGCATCAATTTAAAGAAGATCAACTCAAAAGGTTTAATTTCATTTTTCTTTTGATCTTGAGTTAATAGGTATGCCATACTATTAAGAGGGATGCAAGTTTAGGTGGTCTGAGGAAGATAGAGTGCTCAAGCATAAAAATAAAATCAAAAGAGATACACTCTAGCACTTCACGAGCACATACAATATTTTTCTATGACTGTCGATGTCGGAAGTCCCGACGTAAGCCGGAACTTCCGACAGTCGGAAGTCATGACTCTTGCCAGAAGTGCTGACTCCCAGTCATAGCCTACGCGGTGACTATGGACGTCGGAAGTCCCGACGTGAGTCGGAACTCCCGACAGTCGGAAGTCTCGACCCAAGCCGGGAGTCCCGGCATCGATGGTTCTTCTGACCTGCTGACTGTGCCCGTCGGAAGTCCCGACGTCCGTCGAAAGTTCCGACCATCGGAAGTCCTGACCCTTGTCGGAAGTTCCGACATTGGCTGTCTCGAGTGGACTTTGACCTTGCGTGAACAGTGTTTTCTGTTAACGTCGGAAGTCTCGAGATCTACGTCGGAACTTCCGACGTAGATCTGAACGGTTAGATTTTGCCTTGGAGTATATATACCCCTCTCCTCCCTTCTAACTGTTGCCCACTCATTTCATTGCGATGAACACACGGCCAAAACAGCCCCCAAGCATTTTAGGCTCGCCACTCTTCTCTCCTTTTCTTCCAACTTCGATTCCCAAAGGGTTTGAGTGGTTGGAGAGTGGATTGAGTGAGAAAATCACTTTGAGCAAGCTTGAGGACTTGATTTCTTTGTCAAGCCGGCTTGATTTGCATTTGTTACTCTTGGGGATTTTTCCCTAGCCGGCTAGGCGTCGCCCAAGAGCTTCCATCTTGTGGAAGAGCCTTGAAAAGTTTGTATTACCCTTGATTTCTAGTGAAGAAACTCAAGTGACCTTTGTGGTATCCTTGAGTGAGGTAAGGAGGTGGAAGAGACTCCGACCAAAGTGGTCACCTCAACAACGAGGACGTAGGAGCTCCTTTGTGGGGCTACCGAACCTCGGGATAAATTCTTGTCTCCCGCGTGCTTGTTGTTGTTGTGATTTGCTCGAAATTACTTGTATTTGGTTGTCTCCCTCTCTCTTGTTATTTCTTAGGGTTTGGGACTCGATCTACGGAGTGGTGGCTTATCAATGTCAAGAGAGTGGGTTTGTAAGTTATTGACAACACAAAGTTCATTTTAGCACTTGTAGTTCATTTCCCGTAGGGGTCAGAAGTGCTGACAGTTTGTGTCGGAAGTTCTGACCCAAACTGTAGGGACTTCTGACACATCGGAAGTTCTGACCCAAACGTCGGGACTTCTGACACATCGGAAGTTCTAACCCAAACTGTCGGGACTTCCGACATTAACTGACTAGTGCATTTTGATTCAATTCTTTGGTTGCAGCTGTTTGGCTCCCTAGGTTTATCTAGTATCTTTTATATACTTTGTGGCTAACTTGTGAGGGGTGATATTACTCTGATTTGGTGTTTCCATTTTGGAAACTCCTATTACTAATCATTTTCGCTTTTAAAGGTGTTGATTTTTCAGAAACGCCTATTCACCCCCCCTATAGGCGGCATCCTTGGTCCTTTCACATAATCACACTCACACATAGTTCTCAGTTCAGTTCTTAGTTCTCACATGCATAGCATCACAGACACGTAGTCACACACACATAAACACGTAGTTCTCACAATCATACATCAACATCTAAAAGTTCTTATGAATGTCTGGTAAAGATAAATTAACTAAGTGATAGAATGGTTCATGAAAAGGCCTAAGGCCTCAAGCTCAATCATCATTTGTAGTGTCATGATCTTGCTCATAACCAGTTGTGACCACTTCTTCTTGATCAGACTCAAACTCGATGTCGGTGCGAAAAGTGACCAACACGTAAATATTTATAGTTTTGTCATACGTTGTGATCGGATGTGGCATAGCACTCAATGACACATGGTTTATACTGGTTCAGGCAACGTGCCCTACATCCAGTCTGAGTCAGTCGGTGACTTTATTCCTGAGCCCAGGTGCTCGAAGTTTGCTGTGTGGTTACAAATGAGAGGGAGTAAGATGGGGGGTATCAAAGGTCCGGTCCGACTCTAGACCGAAGGGCTGAGAGTGACGGGAGCTCCGATGTGCGTTAAGTGTTCGAACGTCTGTTGTTCGTTTGAATCATCTATGTTAATCGATCCTCTGAATCCATCGATCCTATTTTGGAGAGAAGCCATCCCCTTTTATAGATGAAGGGGACGACTTTACATGAAAGAGAGTGTGTGTGCTACCTAGTCTTGTTGCCCACGCCATCGGGTACAAGGTGATTTGTCGGCGCCCACAATACCGTTGATGGCTGGTTGCATGTGGTTGGTTCCACCGTGATCTTCTGGTATGGCAAATGTCGACGCCTACCATACTATAGGATAAATGGTGGCGCCCACAACACTGTTCATATTCTAATATGTCTGAAAGGTTGCGGATCATCATTTTTGACATGGCCTGACAGTACTGTCCTGCAGGTGAGTAGGATACGGTCCTTGGTTTTGTGGTTGACTGGAGCGCCCCGCCTTACTTGCTCCGTCCGTTTTCTGGGTCTTCACCGAGCGGACGTCCTAGGTCGGTTGTTCCCTAGTCGGCTCCAGCCTCCCGGTCGGAGAAGCGAGTCGGAGTCGGAGGCGAGCGTCATCCCTTCTCGGCCAGGCCTTCCGGTCGAAGAGGCAGGCTGGAGTCGGAAGCGACGGAAGCGAGCGTCGTTCCTCCTTAGCTAGGCCTTCCAGTCAAAGAGGCGGCTGGAGTCGGAAGCGAGCGCTATAGTCGGAGGTGAGCTGGCCAGGCCTTCTAGTCGAAGAGGCGGCCGGAGTCGGAGGCGAGCGTCGTCCCTTCTTGGCCAGGTCTTCTGGTCGGAGAGGCGGGCCAGAGTCGAAGGTGACAAAAGCGAGCACCCTTCCTCCTTGGCTAGGCCTTCCAGTCAGAGAGGTGGGCTAGAGTCAGAAGTGAGCGTCGGAGTCAAAGGTGAGCTGGCCAGGCCTTCCAGTCGGAGAGGCGGGTCGAAGTCAGAGGCGAGTGTTGGTCCTCCTTGGCTAAGCCTTCCAGGCGAAGGTTGGATCGCCCCTGGCCTGTCGTTAGGTCTTTGGGCCAGCCCAGGAGTTGTACGTCGTTCGCAACATCGTCTACTGGGTTGAGCTTTTGCTGGAAAGCAGGTCCATGAGGGACCCCGGGTTTATGAACCCGACACTAGATTTCTTCCTCCTCATTTGGCAACTCTTCAGGTTCAGATTGGACATCCTCTTCAATCTGTCTCGGCTGAGCCAACCTTGCACTCCTACGCTGTTTTGTTACCTCCTCAGGCCCACATGTATCTACAATTTGTTGCCATGTTAACCCTGTAACAGCATCAACATCAGAGTTGTTGTCATCTCCACCATCAACCATCCACCATTGGGCACAAGTTGCATTTGCTGCTACTAGAGGATCTACTTTGTTGTTCTTTTTTGCCTTAGCCTTTTTCTTTGAATGAAGGTTATTGAAGCGAACGTAGATAAGTTGCTCAACTCTCTCACAAGTGAGCCTGTTTCTCTTCCTGGTATGAACCTACAAATTTCAGATTCACAAGTGCACTTAAGTATTAAATTGTTGGATAGAACAAAAATTATCGCAGTTCACAACTAATTAAGATTTGGAGACTTAGTGAATTACCCCATCAAAGCAGCTCCTATTTCTTTCACAGTCCGAGGAACTTGAAGTCAAAGAGAGAATCCTTATAGCCATCTTTTGTAGAGTTGGAACTTGTGTTCCATAATTTTCCCACCACTTGGCTGCACAAGTAATAAGTATAAATGTTACAGTGTTAAACATGCAACCAGAAATTTAGATATAATATTTCAGATCTAAAATAAACTACAAACTTGCATACTTGGGAAGAAATTATAATCCTTACAGCCAGCCATTGCTGTAGGTTTTGCAAAGTGGTCGGTTTGATATTTGAACTTGTGCAGATCTTCATTGAGGACTTGATTTTACTTGTCATAATCACCATGATAAAAAGTTTCAACAGCTGTAAAGAACCCATCCATGACTTCCTCTTCTCCAAAGATGGAAGAATCATTGTAGCTATAATAGGGATTCAAGAAGTATGCAGCTAAGTGCAAAGGACTATTCAACCTGCCTTTCATCTTCTCATCAATGATTTCTATGATATTGTTGTATAGATTGAGAGTCCCAACCTTGTCAATATTCCCTAAGCCCACCATGATCTCTTTCTTAGCCTTAAGAATTTCTCCATAAAGAAAAGCCATTGATGGCTTCATATCCCCATCAACCATGTGAAGTACTTTGACCAATGGCTCAAATACTCTCAAACAAAGAGCAACACTAGCCCAAAAATTAGGTTTCACCAAAGTGGCTGTGGCCTGCACACCTTTTGGGGTCTTCTTGACATGACTGATTGTCTCCCATTCCTCACTTTGAGACATTGCCCTTAGCTCATTCTTCTTCTCATACAAGCTTTGTAAGGTGAGAAAAGAGGAAGCAAATCTGGTCACACCGGGCCTAATGATGTCTCTTTTTTGTGAATTTCCTCATCAAAGCCAATGTTTTATGGTGTGCATAGATAAAGATGGTTAGTGCCTTTGCTTGATCAATGATGGTCTTGAATCTTTTTAGTTTCCCAATGCCTTCAAGCATCAAATTGAGAGTATGTGTTGCACATGAGCTCCAAAATATATTGACAGACAACAGGGCTTTCGCTGTCATGTTGTTGGAGGCATTATCTGTGACTACTTGCACCACCTTTTTAGCACCTATTTTCTCAATACAACTGTCCACATACTGAAAGATGAATTCTCCAGTATGGGACTCAGCTGAGGCCTCATTTGATTCCAAAAAAGTTATACCAATGCTGCAATTGACACACATATTCATTATGCTTCTCCTCTTCTGATCTGTCCATGCATCAGTCATAATGGAGCACCCATTTTTGGCCCATTCTTGCTCTTGTAGCTTCAACAATTTCTTTGTGTCCTCCACTTCATCATACAATAATTTCTCCCGCAGCTCATGCTGATTTGGTTTCTGTCCACCAGGGCCAAAGCGTCCAGCAGCTTCTAGCAATTGGTCAAACTCTTCATTATTGATGGCATGGAAAGGCATTCCTAAAATTTACAAGAATTCAAGGTTAGACATTAGAAACAAATAATTCAGCAAGGTTAGGACTCCAGAAATTTACAACATTTATTTTAGTAATGGAGCAATGGACCAGTTTATTATCGTGCACATACACCCATCTTGCAATATATCTCTTCAAGGCATGCATTATCTCTTTCCATAATGCTTCAGGGATTCTTTGTTGCCTCACCAGTTTTGTGTTGCTCAATGAGCTAGAATCCATAGGCAATGTAAACTTATCCATAGGCCCCAACTTGCGCTGTGTCGAGTCTCCAACATCATCAAGCCCTTCTCTATTGATGGTGGTATCTTCAACATCTGGACCATCATCAAGGATCACAACATCCCTGACATCTTGCTTCTCCTCCTGCCTTGCCTTCTTAGCTTGTTTCGAGTCATCAACAACTTTCTTGCACTTGTTTATGGCCTTAGGCGGTGCCTTGAGGCAAGGTCTAACCTCACCACGAATCCCACCGACATATTGCTTCAACCTATATATCCCCACCCTCACAACAAGATCACAGAACTTGCACTTGATCACATTCAGGTTGTTAGGGTCCACCAGGACTCCATAGTCCCACCCAATGTCACCTGAGTTCCTCTTGAGGCTACTGCTGGGGTTTATGGAAGGAACAGATGCAACTGGAGACATCCTGAAAATAGCATAGCACAAATTATAAATTATTAGTACAGGTAGCAGCACAAGAACATTCATGTAAAGTACAGAATAGAGCCATTGCCACGGAACAATAGGTGACAAGAAGCATCTAACTACGTACTTGCTATATTCATATTTCAAACTTTCAGAATTAGGAACCTAAATGCATGATATAATAGCCTAAGTGCATAATAAAATAATAACATGGCCACAGCTAACATAATTAAGTGATTTAATTTAACAAATGCATATGGAACTGTAGCATACAAAGCAATTCTCGCAATCCCTTTCTCTATTTTTTAAACTTTTTTCTAAACAAAAATCTCTATTCTTTACAAGAGCACACAATATTTATTTCTGGACAACAAAACAACACCAGCCTACTAGTACGCACATGCTACAGCACATCATATATGAGTTGATTTCTAAATAAAAGAATGGAACATTAGTACTAGTCTGCATCTACACACGCGGGAGCATATATGATATGTCAATTGATTTTTGGAGAGGAGAATGGAGCTCTAGTACTAGTAGTCTAGTACGCACTGCACAGTATGTACATGCTGGAGCATAAATCAAAGAGAGTACATGGAGCACTTAACTTGTTTGTGCCGGAGATGTAGACGAGTTCAACCTGGAGTAGACAACAGAGGCAGAGAGGAGCTCGACCTGGATGGAGAATGGGGTGGAGGATGACTTGGAATGCAGCAACAGGGGCAGCCGCGGTAGTGATGGCGGCGGCCACTGGAGCGGCGGCGGTGGCCGAAGGAGCGCGGGTGCAGCAGCTGCGGCGGACGGTGTGTGTGCAGCCGTGCAGGGGACTTGGAAATTGCGACGGCTCTGAAATGCTTTGGGGATAGAAAGGCCAGACCCTAAGAGGTTGGTTTTTATAGTCGTCACAGTTGACTGGGCCGATGCGCGCAAGACGAGGTCTAAAATTTTCGTTTTGCAGCCGAAATGTCTCTAATCGCCTAAACGTCCTCCTACTCGCTTCACTCGACGCGTAGAACCGTGTCAGCTCTGAACCGTGTCGCCCGTGCAGTCCGTGTATGACCGTTTTTTACCGTTTACACGGACTGACCGTGTACCATATCATTTATGGCCTAAACTGCACGCAAAGCTGCTAAGTAACGTGTACACGGCGAATAATCAACCTACAGGGCCGTGTAGGCGAACACTGATAAATCTAATTAAATATCTAAAATATAGATAATGGGAAGTCTTGATTTTTGAGTGGGGCCAAAGAATCAAATTTGACTACATATATATAATTTATTAATATTTATGATGCCTAATAAATATCGCTATATTAATCATGAAATATATTTTTATAATAAATCTAATTAAAGATCTAGATATAGATAATATCTTTAGTCAAATTAAGATTATTCTGACTCCTTAGAAGTCGAGACCGGATAGCATACAAATACCTTTAATGGATGTCTAAACTAAAATGCTTTTGGTAGATAAAAATATCACCAGTTCGGCATAACATTAACTCTAAGAATTTATGCGCATGCTCGTGTCAAACTTCTTTTTTTCTAAAAAAAAACTAGCTCCATAAACTCTTGCAGATGAGGCTGTAGGCTCTTTATTAAACAATATTACTAGCCCTCTGATATAATGCGTGAGTATACCGTAAATTAGCGTAATAGTTTTTTTAGATTGCATAATAGTTAGTGTATAGTCATAGATAAGTTATTTTATACAAATAGCCATTCCAAACATTGTTGTTTGCTCTCACATTCATTTCTTCACGAACATAAATTTTGTAAACATATTTCCCTTGCTTGAAACATGGTCCTGACAAAGTTTTATTGCACTAATCTTGAAACGTATTTTAATCTCAACAATGACTCTAGTCATATATTTATCGAACGAGCGTGCGTGTGCTGTGTAAAAACATCATTTTACCTTCGGAACCGCGCAGCCTCTCACCTCGCGCAGATCACAACATCATCGAGAAAGCGTCAATCAGAGTAAAAAAAAAAGAATGGAGAAGGTACATTTTCAACGAGAAAAGGAGAATAAATAACTGAAGCTTATCATTTCTTTTTCGTTTTTTTTGACAACAATCATTTCTCTTTCCTTGGCAGAGGTTGGAAACTACTAGACCGATTCGGAGCATCTCACACGCGGTTTTCTGACCACCTTCCCCCTCCTCCCCTGACCCTGATGGCCTGATGCCACCTTCTCCTCCTGTATCTGTATCACACACAGACACAGCTCAGCAGCAGCATCGCATCGCCTCGCCCCCGATTTCTTCTCTCTCTCTCTCTGGGAAAAATCCAACGCCAACGCGGCCGCCGGACGCGCATTGCTCGCCCCCCCCGATTTCCTCTCTTGTCTTAAAAATCTCGCCATCATCGCCACCGCATTGCTCTCCCTCCCTGCTTCCTCTCATCTCCCCCTTCCAGGGGGCGTTCTTGGATTTCCAGTTCCGTGAGCTGCGTCTGCTGCTGACGCCGCCGCCGGTGGTCGCGTAGGTGGTGGCGGCCCGCAATGGGGAGGAGCAGCCGCGCCTGCTCCCTTCTTGGTTCCGCCCAGCTGCTCCTGCTGCTGCTCTCGCTCGCGCTCGGCTCCGCCGCCGCCCAGAAGGGTTCCACCTGGAAGACCCTGAGCGGTAAGCTCGATTCGCTGCGCTCTCACTTCGTTTCTTGAAAAGTTGGTGTGTATGTGATCTGATCTGGTCGATGTGCTGCCACTCTTCGCTTAAAGATCAGCCTTTTTTTGCCTGTAAACTGCGAATTTGGTTTTTGTACTACAGCTTGGCCTGGATCTTCAGGATGAGCATGAACTGGCTGCGCATTTAGTTCTTTTTTGGGGGGCTCAAGCTTCTGTTTTTTTGCAGCAAAATAGTTTTTTAGGGCTTCTCCAGAAAAATAGTTTTGCTTGTCTTTAGCACTGTTTGGGGGACTAGATTTCTGATTGGAAGCTTGGGGCCAGCCATGATGCTTACCTTTTAGCATTTCGTCAAAAAAAAAAAAAAAAACGGTAGCCTTTCCAGCTAAGTGGCATTTGGTTGGGATTCAATAGACGCACATTTTATTGTTTACATCACCGTGTCCTCAAGTAGAAGCCTATGCAAAATCACTTTCTTAGTGAGAAATACTCGTAAATCATTAGCTGCTGACGCCTACTGTTCATCGGCTGCTTATGGACCCATGGGGATTGCTTGTTTTGAGAATGGGATGGGAGCGGATCAGTTCGATGAATAATATTAATTCGGGTGGTGCTTTGAATTAACGGTGATAATGACCTATAATTTCACATGGTCATGCGTGTATACCAGTTTTATGTCCGTCCGGTAATTTTGGTTTTGTATTTTCTGCCGAAGCGCTTAGGGCTGTTCCAGTACTTTTGTCCATCCTCATGACCCTAACAGTAACAATCATCTCATTTTTCCAGGCAAGGCTCCAGTAATCGTTGCTAAGGGCGGGTTCTCCGGTCTATTTCCTGATTCCAGTTATGATGCTTATCAGATTCTTGGGACTCTTAGCTCCCCTGACACAGCCATTTGGTGTGATGTTCGGTTGACAAAGGATGGCGGTGGTATCTGCCTACCGAGCATAGACATGGATAATTGCACAGTGATAGCCTATGTTTTTCCTCAAGGGAAGAAGACCTACAATGTTAATGGTGTATCTACGGTGGGATGGTTCTCCGTGGACTACACAAGCACTGATCTGCTAAATGTATCTCGTAAGTGGAGTTACAAATTTGTGTTTCACTATTGTCTTGAGCATTTTGATCTTGTTAACTGTTATGGTATATGTTCAGATGTCTCATGTCTGTGCATTGAATCTTATGCCACTTAGTAAATGCAGATGTCATGCTTCATTAACCCATTTTGATATTTGCAGTGAAGCAATCGGTCCTATCTCGTACTGGTGCATATGATGGTATCTTTTCAATAACTCCTGTTGAAATTGTTTACACCCAATTTAATCCCGCTGCTGTTTGGTTAAATGTCCAGGTAGGGATAAAACTTTAACTAGCTTTGAACTAAAAAGTTGGTGATTTTCCTCTCACCTGAACATTTGTTTTCTTTCCAAATTGCAGCAAGACAGTTTCTACAGCCAGTTTAAGCTTAGCATGAGAAGCTATATCCTGTCTTTATCGAAAAAATTTGTTGTCGATTACATTTCATCGCCTGAAGTGAACTTCCTCACCAGTATATCTGGAAGAGTTAGCAAGAAGACGAAGCTTGTGTTCCGCTTTCTTGACGAACGCTCTATTGAGCCATCGACAAATCAGACTTATGGCTCAATGTTGAAAAATCTAACGTTTGTCAAGACTTTTGCCTCTGGAATACTTGTTCCCAAAAGCTATATCTGGCCTGTTACACCAGATAATTACCTGCTGCCTTATACTTCAGTTGTTGATGATGCTCACAAAGCGGGGCTAGAAATCTATGCTGCTGATTTTGCAAATGACTTTACTATCAGCTATAACTACAGCTTTGATCCATTAGCGGAATATCTTTCCTTCATTGATAACGGTGCCTTCTCTGTTGATGGTGTATTGAGTGATTTTCCGATTACTCCTTCAGAGGCAGTTGGTGAGTCCATCTATCCTTTTTTTTTTCATGATGCTATTAATAAGTATGTGTTCAAGAATTTTATGCACTCAAGGTAGCACTAGGTCAGTGTGATGTTTTATTTAGAATAGTTGTTATGGAATCATGGTTCAGTTATTATTATTATTTTTTTTTGACTTTGGCATGAATCCCCTAACAAGTTGGAAGATGTAGCATGGGTCATGGCCTCTTTGGTCTTGATTTGTTCTTCTTTTTCCCCTGCAGGTTGCTTTAGTAACCTGAACACCAGCAAGATTGATCATGGTACACCTGCTTCCTTTGTCACTTCACGCTTAATTTCACCTATTTATAAATGTTACTGAATTTCGTCACACATTGACAAATGCAGCTAAACCTCTAGTTATCTCTCATAATGGTGCTAGCGGTGACTACCCAGACTGCACTGACCAAGCTTATGAAAAGGCAGTTGCCGATGGTGCAGATGTCATTGACTGTCCTGTTCAAGTGACCAAAGATGGCATACTGATATGCATGAGTTCCGTTGACCTAATGGGCGTTACTACTGTTGCAAAATCACAATTTGCTTCGCAAGTAACTACCATCAACGATCTGAAGGCTGGGCCTGGCGTCTTCACCTTCAACCTTACTTGGGATGATATTTCTAAGAACCTAAAGCGTAAGTTGATTTGATGTCATTCCCCTACTTTTTGTAAACCTGAATGTTTGCTATGCAAATAGAAGCCAAACGTTTAGATATCCTCATGTATATATGGTTATGCTAAGTCATCTTTTTTGTGCAATTGATAACTAGTGAATAGTTAATGGCCCATCTGTAATTTTTCTTCACAACTGATCATGCATTTGCTTCAAGACTAACATTTTTTATTGGCAGCCATGATATCGAACCCAGCGATCAACTTTGGCCAGTACAGAAATCCCAGAAACAAGAATGCAGGAAATTTCATGAGATTATCAGACTTTTTGACCTTTGCAAAGGGAAAGGATTTGTCAGGAATCATGATAACTGTTGAGGTAAGAAATTAATGATGTGGAAAAATGTTATATCTAGTGTGAACCTAGATTTGAGTGATATGGAGTTGGCTATAGTGCTGTTCCAAATCTCTTACCATTTATCAAGTATACTGCACCGAGAGCCATGCCTTTTAGGGATTACTTGATAATCATTTTTTTTTCATAGAAAAAAGTTCACAGATCTGAAAACACAACCTGTACAGTTAGTGATTTTTTTTTTATTTATATGATTAAAGACTAGACTGGCAGGATCCAAATAAATGACAAATGTTTCTAGATTAGTGACCCTCAAACTTCATTCTGGTACAGAACCTTGATGAGAGCTTTGACAGTTGGGCCACTCAACCCTATGCCTCACCCATCTAGTCTAGTTTTGACCCTACCACAAGCCCACAAGTAATCTAGTAGAATTAAAAATCACAGTGACCAGTTCATATATATTTTAGCTACTTAATCCTTCACTAGGTTAACTAGCATTTCTATGTCTAGAACTTGCTTGCAAAGAACCTGAAGTTAAAGTAAATAATGTGATTTTACCCCTAACTAGCTACACTTGACATGGTTTAAAATCTGTGAACTTACCCTACAAAAGGATGACTGGAGCAAAGCCAATCCCTTTTTTATGTCTCATGTGGTGGAGTTCTTGCAAGTCCTCACCACACCTCATTCTCCTTCTCTTTTTAATTCTTGCAGCATGCTGCCTTCATGGCAGAGGAGCTTGGATTTGGTGTGGTAGATGCAGTGATCAAAGCCCTTGATGACTCTGGTTATAACAAGCAGACTGCCCAGAATGTTATGATTCAGTCAACCAACAGCTCAGTTCTAGTGAAGTTCAAGCAGGAAACCAAGTATAACCTTGTCTACATGATTGAAGAAAATGTCAGAGATGCTGCACCTTCCTCCCTTGCAGATATTAAGAAGTTTGCTAATGCTGTTTCTGTTAGCACCACATCTGTTTTCCCGGAAACCCATTATTATTTGACAAACCAGACCAATAATCTTGTTCCGACCCTTCAGTCTGCTGGCCTCCAAGTTTACGTTTACGTGCTCATGAATGAGTTTGGTTCTCAACCAAATGACTTCTTCGCAGACGCTACTGCACAGATTAATGCTTATGTGCAAGGTGCTAATGTGGATGGGGTCATCACTGATTTCCCTGGGACTGCTCACAGATACAAATGTAAGTTCCTGATTACAATTTCAGAAGTACTGTATCATTTGTTAAGTGATTCAAATATATGAAGTTCTCGATGAATTTATTGGTCACAGTGAACTCCTGCATGAGCATGGGAAAGAACGCACCACTCTTTATGTCGCCTCCGAAACCTGGTGACCTCCTTTCAACCATGCCCGGAAATGCACAGCCACCAGCAGCAGCCCCAATGCCGCTCTTGACGGATGCTGACGTTGCAGAACCAGCCCTACCTCCAGTCAGTAACACCACCACGCCTGCATCGCCTTCGCATGCCGCCCTCAGAATGCGGACCGATGTCTCGATCCTCATCACATTGCTGATGCTATGTGCTTCCCTCCTCATCTGAAGATAGTCCTGCACAACATCATATGCGGTGGGCACATTAGAGCTGAGGATTTCACATTGAACTGCTAATAACAATTCTTTCCACCACCTTTATGTAGCGATTCTTTTCTTGTTCTGTCCGGTGTTTTGGAGGATGGATGGATGTTCAGCTTGATACCTCAACGGTGGCACTTGTCTGTGCTGCCGCTGCCTCTAGGTACATTTTGGTACATATGTGGTGATACATTGTTCAGGTCATCTTTCCTCAACCTGCCTCTGGGGGGCAAAATATTGACTGCAAACAGGGTTTGTTTGAATGCACTCTAATCCATCTTAATCCACATGGATTTGAAGGGGTTGCAGTGTAAAATTAGTTAATTTTCTACCCTAATCTTTGCCAACCCATGTGGATTGGGGTGAATTAGAGTGTATCCAAAGTTCCAAACAAGCACTTGGGAGTTTTGAAAAAGAGTAAAATATATTAGAGGTCCAATAACTTGTGAGCAGTGTTATCTAGGTCTATCAATTCTAAAATTGTAATTTTTTAATCTATGAACTTTTTAAGTGGTCCAACAACTCTAAAATTGTTTTTTTTATGTATGAACTTTTTAAGTAGTTCATTAAATCTGATGGCATCTGAAACTGAAATAATGATGTTTAGAGTCTGTTTAGCACTGTTCGGCTTCACTAGTGAAGCTGTTTTTTTTTTGGGTTCTATAATACCACTAAAACTAAAGTTGTTGGCCAACGCATCCTCTCCATCCGACACAGTCGCGGCGAGGTACTAACCAAGCCCGCTGGTGTGGTGTTCTGACAAACTAGCTCCACATTCCATGAGCATCGATGCTAGATGTCATGTGCTTTCAAGGGCGTGATTAGTTTCCGTATCAAACCAGCTTGGCTCGCAGATGGAAGACAGGCCCCCGCCGGGCAAACTGTGTGCGTGCAGGCTGTTTGCAGGTGTCTAGTGTCCGGCAGCTTATCCTCCGGCTGGAAGGCCACACGGACACCATGTTGATGTAGCCGTATAGGAGTCACAGCCACCTGGAATGTGGCCGAGTCCGTGTGACGAGCGCAGCCACCTTGGCAGCCTGCACAGACGCGAATAACTCCACGCGGTGGACATTCCGGCGGAAGCAGGAAGCAGTGAAGCACCCAAACGATGACGACACGGCGTGCAGTCGCCACAAATGGCGTAAGTACATTTCGTCGAACATGTTGCATGCGCACAAGAACTCGACGAAGATACTACAGGTGGCTTGGTGTCAAGGAACGTGACGTGAGTTGCAGGCAACGTATACGTATTGAAATTTGAAAGATGGCCACCGGAGGGGCCGGCTCCGGCTCCAACCCCAGACCGTGTGGATGTGTGTTCTCGTCTCGTAGAGGACGAGGAAGAGACCGGCAGCGCATGCCGCGGCCACCGCGTCGCATTGGCGCGCACCTTGTGCTAGAGCGGCCGAGCCCCCGCTACCGCGAGCGATTGAGGCGGCTACTACCTGCTCGGCGATTGTGAGGCGGGCACGGAGCGCCGTGGTGGCGTGACCAGATGACGCTCCGCAGGATGCTGGCGAACCTCGCCGTCGCCTTCGATCCAGTGGGGAAGGTCCGATTCGAGCCATGGTGCCAGCAAGGGAGGGTCGGGCGGTGGGCCGTGGCCGTGGCCGTGGTAAGGCAGAGGGTTTAGGCCTTCTGACACGCTGGAGAGCTCACACTTTTGATACGAATATTACGATATCCGGACTGCATTAACACAAAAGTGAGTACTGGATTAGGGATACACTAGAAAAACCGGCGCGGCGTTGCCGCGCCCCAGCCTGTGTAGGCCAGGTCACCAGGATAACGTTTTCAGGTAAGCAGTAATGTGCAGGCGTTTTCGATTACATGATGATAACATCAGCTGAGCATGGTGACCAAAATGCCCAAAATTTAATTACATTATATTTTGTGTTGTATGAAACAGCTGTTCAAGCATCTAGGCTCATTTCCAGAGCTCATTTCCACATATTGGCTTCTGAAGATTGTATCATGGTTCTATCCCAGCAATCCTAGGACAGTCCTCAAGGTCTGTGCTATTCTATAGTTTAAAACTTTAATATGCAAAATATTTTTGGGTGAAATTTTCATATACTACTGAAGTAGTGCGCAAAATATTTTAAGGTGCAAATTTGCAGCCACAGGACGTTACTCCTTGTGCAAAATCTGCCTTCTCTTTTCTTAAACAAAAATCTGCCTTCTCTAAAAAATGGAACTTCTGTTGCGCAGCTGGGGCCCACCTATAAACCCCAAGACATATTTTTTTTAAAACTTCTCATTGGTGATAATAGATCTTTTCTGGTTGTCTACTTCCTGGGACATTGGTCACAAATTTGATCTTCTGCAAGGCCCCAACTACAAATCTATAACATGCTTTATATGGCTACTTGGCCAATGTCCAACCTAAACCGACTTATCTGTAATTGTAGAACTTAGGCTAACATATATCAAAGTTATTGATGTTGATTCAAGATGGGAAATTATATCTTTTATAAAGGAAAATTCTCAAAATGGGATACTGTACTATACATAGGAAGCAAATGATTGAATGTCCTTTGCTTTATTGAATCACTTGTTTGAACAAAAACAATGTAAGGACCTCCAGCCAACTAAAGTAGACTTCAAAATGCTTGCTGAAGATATTCCCTAGGTGGGAGACAACAACTACAGTAGCAACTTCTAACCAAATGGTCTTGAATGCATTTGTAAGTGAAGCAAACAGAGCCCCATATAACGATGAAAGATAGTTAGAATGGACGACTATTTCCATTTGCATAGTCATCAATCACTAAAGCCAATTCAAATGGCCATACGAGGTTGATGCTTCTGCTCTGCATTTAGATACCGCACCATGGCAGTGGCATTATCTTAATTGGCTGCAAGGTTGGCACTTTTAGCCCACAGTAAAAAAATCGAAGCAAGGTTGTACAGCTCAAAATTCTGGTGGTCAGGAGTCGGATAAAAAATCTGGGAGAATTTAGTAGTTAAGAGTAGGTATTAAACTCTACTAGACTCGATTTTTTGTTCATGTTAACTGAATAATTGCAGAAGCTGTGTAAAAGAATGGTCATTTGAAAGTTTATTCTTTTTTTAGCCTGAGCTAGCTAGCATATTTTTTGGATTTTAGCTGATTGACAAGTTAAAAACGACTTTTATGTTGGAAGATGATGAACGATGTATATGCAGTCTATGAAAAAAAAAGTGAACCAAACTTTGGTATTATTTTCAACACCAACTTGTCCTGAAAATTGTAGCTTTGGAAATGGTTGTATTATACCGTGCTGTGTTGCTGGTTTTGCTAACAGATGTCCTACCTGAAGAAGCTTTGTTAGTTAGAAATGGTAAAGACTAAAGCTAGGCACTAAAACTTGTAGTGCGTGCATTGCACAAAAGCAGATTTTGGATCTGGATGCGTCCATCCTAAAATCCGGCTTCGTTCTAAGCTATGCACTCAATCGTTTGGTAAGCAAGAAATGAATCAAGCAAGTTATCAGATTAATTCATAGATTTGGCACTTCAAGCACAATTTTGAATAAATAAACAGTAAGCAAGAATTCTGAATTCGAGTTTTGGAGTTAGTAGTCTTGCTATTCATGGATTATATTTATGACCAGACTATAACACTTAACTGACATAGATGGTCCCATATGTTTCAGAAAATTTGCTACACCAAAACAAGCTTATGAGCTTTAGAGAAAAGTATGGTTGACTCTATATGCAATTATGCATCCAATGATTTAAGTCATTAAATTGTACAGAATATAGATATGGAAACATAGCCGGATACAATATGGTTCTTTGCTTGAACAATGATTAATATTATGAATGTAAAACTCTGTATTCAGAAGTAATTGTCGTCATCAAGCTTGCATCATGCTCCCTTGAATCAAAGCCACGTTTATCTGTTTGACCCAAAATTAGATATATTCAGTGAGCACTTTACCTTGTAGGCATTTCCTCGAGCTGCTGTTGGGCGTTGTCCATTTGGGCGACCACTCCTTTAGGGTGCGTATAGAGGTGCGGGAGGCTGCGTTGTGCGTAGGGCGCAGCACTGGTGTCGCTGACCTTTTTCGTCATGTGCGCCTTGTGCGGCACTGGAGGGGGGTATCAGGTACGAGCGAAGGGAGGAGCAGAGGGGTGAGGTCCGCGGTTGCGGCTGGGAGCAGAGGGGGGCGTCACTGCAAGGAGAGGAGGCGGCCACGAGGGCAGTTGCCGGATGAGAGCGCGACGTTGATTCATGTCTCAGCGTGCTCATCGCTCGCGGGCGTGGGGAAGCCATGGCGGCCGGTGGCGCTGCTGGTGCCGTCATGCTTCGTTGCCCAGGCGGTGGAGCTTGAGTGCAGAGCGCCGCGACCCAGATAGGGGCGGCGGCGGCCCGAGAGCTGGATGGTGGGTGGCGCAACAGGTGGCGACAAACGCCGGTGGGCTGCAGGCGACGCAGCGGGCGGACGCCGGCACCTTCGCGGAGGGCGGAGGGCAGAGGGTGCCCGCTCTTGTGGTGCGCGGTGGCGGCCGTGTCCGGCTCGCTTGCGGGGCCGCGCTCAGCTCGCCCGCGGGCTGCGCCGCCTCGCTGATGGCTGCCGCCCGTGCTGCCCCTCGCTCGACGGACGAGCCCGAGAAAGTTCGCGAGGTTTCGGGTTGAGAAAGAAACGGGCAGGGACCAAATCGATCCGCAATCGAACGGACAACAACGCAATTTTGCTGGATCGGACGGCCAGCGGGCTAACGGGCTACGTGGCCCTATCCGTTAGCCCGCTTTTGGTGCAGGATTCTTTTTATAGAGATCGAGCTACCGCTCGCCTCCGACACCTCCGGCCACTACCGTCTTCTTCCTTCCTACCTCTCCCTTCCGCTTTGAAGCTAGTTAACGTTTCTACAGAGTTCGGATTCCACACGGCTTCTTCATCCGTGGGCCACCCAGTCTGGGCCGGCATACTTCAAACTGGGCTGGCTCACCCTTCTGGGCCTCTTCGTGATGACAGATTTTACCGCCTCCAATCCTGCCTTCAGGTCCATCATCAGTTCTTCGGTCATCTTCTTCAGTGGCATCAGTCACCAGTGTCGTGACACCTTTGCATTTTACTCTTTGGATTTTTTTTTGTGTGGAAATGATGCCATGTTTCACGTATGGCCACAGCAGCGCCGAATCAGGTCAGCTTGGCAAAACAAAGTACATTTACACATGCATTACGTATCGATATGTATCATTTCATTTTTTTAAATTTTAATACTTCGAAGTATATTTTTTCTAGTAAGATTTTCACGTTTGTAGTGTTGAGGGGGGTTTGCATTGAATACTTTTTTTTTCTCTTGCGAGGAGTTTGCACCAAATACTTGACTTTCTCTAAGTCTGAATCCATATCGTTAAGTTCACACATAGGGCATTGTTTTGAATACTGAACTAACCTCAAGTTAGCCCTAGGCCATATAAATGAGTGGGCTAATTTTAGTGTAGCCTAACTGGTTGTTAGTCCATCTTATTAGTCCATGTATCCCGACGACGTGTGACTGAATGTCAATCACTACTTTGGTCGCCTAAATTCTAGTTCGTAGTGTTACAATCTCACCGAACTGAGCATGCATTCGTTCATTCAGAATGTGAGAAGAGTAGCAGTAATCTCCAATGAATCATTCTGTTCTGCAGTCTGAAAAGGATGTGATTGGATTGGACTATGGAATGCACATTGGAGATTTGTACTGGAGCAGTCAATTATGCCACTTGCCACGCAAGAGCTGCCAAGTGAGAAGAGTAGCAGTACCCTAGCAGCCATCGGCGGAGGAGCGACGTCCACCGGCTGGGCTGGGCGCCACCATCCACCCTCCGTTGGGAGTTGGGGACGCTACGCCGCGTTCACTGACAACCGCGGGTTTCGCGTGTGGCCACGGCGCGGCCGCAGCCAATCGTCGCGTCTTCTGCCTGTCCGTCGCCCATCCATGCCGCCTCCCGCCTCGACGCCGGCGACGCACGCGGCCGTGTACGTGGCGGCGGTGCCCCTGCGGGCGCCCAGGGGCCCCGCGCAGCTGCTGATGTCGGCGGGCTACTCGCTGGGCATGTGGGACCTGCAGCACTTCATGGTGCTCCTGCGGCCCGACCCGGCCCTGGCCCAGGCGCTGGTGTTCGATTTCCAGCCGCGGGACCCGGAGGACGCCCTCGCCGCGCTCGCGGTGCTGTCCCGGAGAGAAATCCCTGGTATGGTAAAACCCTTCGCCTTCCTTCGCGGTTGATTGATTGATTCGTGCCATGGCGAGAGCCTATCTGTCCTGTCCTGCCATGGCGAGGATTTATTTGTCCTGCTCCTGCAACTGCAATGGATGGATGGATGGATGTTCAGGCGTGGTTCGTAGAAGGACGCTGCGGAGGGTCCCTGACCGGCGGTGCTGGCTCGTCGGGCACTGCTGCTGCGACGGGGACGACGACGCCGTTGCCGCCGCCGGCAGGTTCAGCGAGCGGTGGCGGACCGGCCTGGTGGTCGGGGAGCACGACTGCCGGGACTACACTAACGGTAATCCGTCAGGGGGGCTCATAGTCATCGACATTGCAAAATCGTCGTGGTAGTGCGATCCGTCTCACCGTCTCTTTGTGTTGTTTTGTGGATCGACAAGGGCTGGTCGAGGTGCTGACAGGTGAAAAACGTGTCCTGGAGTCGCTCCGATTGGGCGCCAACGGCAGCACCACTCGCGGGGCGGCGCCGCCGTGGTAGCCTGGTGCGAGTGCCTCTCTCTTTCCTTTTTTTTCCCTGTATGTACAACCCCTCCGTTCCTTCGGTCTCGTGGCGCGCTAGTGAGTGTGTACTGAATCTCCATCGAGATTGAGATATGGTTTCCAATTCTTGGGCGACGTTGCGTGTGCGCAATCTGATGATGCAATATGAACAACAAGGACAGCCAAATTAGCCAGAGGTTGCCCGCCTCTGGGTAATTTGGCAGTCTTTGAGGTAACGGGCAACCTCTAGGTAATTTGGCAGTCTTTGTTGTTCAGCCTCGTTGCAGGTTGTCTGATAGAGTTCGTTTTTTTTAGGATGCTTCTGAGTTACTAACTCGTCGTCTTACTCTGCAGATGGATGATCTAAATACCCCCACCGTCAGTGTCATCGTGAAGCATGTACGGTCCCTTATCGGATTCTATAACTGGAGACCCAACACCCAAGGCAGTGATCTCAAGGAAATGAGGAGACATTTTCGAAAAAGAAGAAACGAGGAGAGAAACTAAGAAGCTACTCCAGACAAGGCAATGGTGTAACGGAGAAATGAGGTCACTTCGCCGAAGATCAAGGCAAATCTGAAGTAGCATTGCTGATCCATGTAACGGTGAAATCCTTTGGACTAGAAGAAGCTGTTGGCTCAATCTGTTGTCAGCATCTTTTGCCATCTAAAGTTTCTGAACGATGATACACTACACCTCAAATAGTCGAAGTCCTACCTGAACTGAACACTGGGTCACCCTTCCAACTCCTTCAGAAGAAAACAGAGTCCAATTTTTCCTCAACTTGAGACAACATGTAATGCATCATCCATATTCCATAACATGACAGAGTAAATCTTCCTGTTGAGGGTTGACCCTTGCACCAATGCCTCTCAAGCAGTGGCAAAGCTGTCCCCATAGTGTCCTCACCTGGGCTGGGAATGTATGATCACCAACCGCCACTGCTGGACACCTTTGCCCCTACGTCCCCACCACTTCATCCATCTCATCTCAACCCCAGAAACAACAAACCAATTACCTGCGCTCGCTGTGCTTACTCGTGCCATGACCATGATGACGCCGACAAATGGAGGTAGCTCGGGCGTTGACTAATGCAATGGCTTTTCTCCATTAACCCTTATCCCAAGCCTGAAAGGAGGAGACAGAGTATGTAGGCGAGGCCATTAACCCTCCCTTATCTGGAAGCCTGTGATTGATCCAGAGTCTTATCATCAACTCAATTCTCAGAGGCTATATGATCCACCAACCACACATAAGCGCATCTAGCTCTGTGTGAAGCTATCGATGGCTCCACCGCAGATGGTGCGTGCTGCGTGCTGCGTGCCCCTGCCCCACCTGCAAAGCCAAATCAGGCAGCAGCAGCAGCAGCCTGTGACATGACGCAGCAGAGGAAGAAGATACTGTCCGTGTTTAGCTGGCCACCATCACCAATTCGCCATGCATGCTGCAACGAACTTTCTGCCTGCACTGCTGCACCTTAGGTTCTACTTCTACCTGCAGCACTAGCTAATTAAGCGAGCACTATCTGTGGATGTTGGTGAATCAGGCATTCCATCCATGGAGACAATCAGAATCCAGAAGTATTCTTGCATTGGTAAAGGGGAGTTTTGAATGACATGATGTCTGTTCTTCATATCATGCTGCGGCATGACTCATGCTCATTGACAATTTTGGGAAGTTGATGGAAATGCGGTGATCATCATCGCGCCACGTGTCCGCGTATCCGGTATGTCTGCAAACGCATACTAGTATATTCAGGAAGATGGTTGCTGTGGATTTTCTGGAGGGCCCTGCTGGCTTGCACAGACTACGCATGAACTGGTGACCGATGATGATGATGGTGATGATGCTCTCACCAGTCACCACAGATAGAAGCTACCAACCATGGTCGTCAAATCTGTTCAGTTCAGACTTCAGACTAGTGGTGCTTCTCAGCTCAAGCCTCAAGTGATCTGCAACAGATGATCTTCTCGCACAGCCGTTCAGTTTTGGTTCACACCTCTGTACCTTCACTGTCAAATCTGATCTGATCTGCTGAGGTGCTGCCCAAGTCGAGGCTCAGGAACATTCTATCACCTGCGGGCTCATGTTGAAATTGTTTCCAATCCAAGTAAATTTGGATAGAGTACACTTATGCGCCTACAGTAAAACTATCACAAAATTACACACAGTTTGCACGATTTATCATGAAAATACAATTTTTTGCCACGCGCACACCATCAACCCTTTTTGCTAACTGAGGTGAGTTTGGCGTAACCTTCGCCATGCCGACATGTAACGGTCCATGAATTATCTTTTGATGAAACAGGAGTGAATTCCAATTACTGGTTATAAATAAAAAAGTTACATGAAAAGGAAAAAAAAAGCCCAAAGATTACACAAATCCTTGTAGCCAAAGTTCTCTGTCTGATGGGAAATACAACTTCTTTGCTCTAAAGATAACATGAGCAAACACATTTTTGAAAACTTATTTGCAGTACGGCAGAGGAATTATTGAGGACAGAAAGTAACAGAGCAAAGGGTTCTACTTTTTGGTCGAGACCAAAAGATTTTGGCCAACCTACCTTTGGACTTTGGTCTGAGTACCTAAGAAGCTTTTGCAGCAGTTTAATTAGCTCAAATTGGTAGAAATAAAATTGTGGACAACTTCTGAGACTGCAAGTCCGGTCAATTTGTCTTTCTTCATTCCAGATCTGTCATAGTGATAGTTGCACATCATTTTTTACTTTCAAAAAGAAAAGATAGTAGCACATCATTTTCGGACCGTATTCCCGAAGAAGAAAGAGCATTTTTGCACCACTGAAACTTCATGTATACAAAAGCTGAAATCCAAGTTCCGAATGCCAAAACTAAACAAAACTCCAAAGAAGGCCAAGAATTACATGGACACGGAGGAGGAATAGAGTGCCAATTCGACATGCAATTTGGTGATTTCTTATCCTTGCCAACGATTCCACATCACAGAACTTTATTGTCCGTCCTAGACCCTAGTAGACTAGCTAGCGGGGACCACCGCGTACAAGAATATGAGATACAGTACTGTATACACTATGCACCATCTCAACCTGCTACGTACATATATGTTGTTTAACACCTACATACCCAAATGGTACATGCATGCATAGATATACGTATATATATATATATATATATATATATATATATATATATATGAACGTAGAATAATCCTACTCTGCAAAGTACGGAGTATATATACGGCTACGCGTAGATGGCGTAGCGCATGCTCTCGCGCACCATGAGGTGGCTGACCTCGTCGGCGCGCGGCCGCCACCCGGTGGCGGCCCACGCCTCCTCGGTCGCGCCGACGTCCTCGTCGTCGAAGCGGATGGCGCACGCCAGCGCCAGCAGCGCCCTGGCCAGGGCGCTGCCCAGCGTCGGCACCGCCACCGCGCCGCCAGCGGCCGGCGGAGCGGCGGCGCCACCGTCAACGTCGCCGTCTGCACCGAGCGCGCTCTCGTCCACCACCCGCGCAGTCCGCCGCCGCCGGCCCCATCGCAGGCCCTGCCGCACCAGGCCCCACATGATCGATGGCCGACCGGCAAGCAGCAAAAAGACGTACGAGAACCTTAATTCTCCCCTCTCCGCCCTCTCTTTTCCTCCTCAGCACATCCTAACGTGCACGCACGCGCGCTTCCGAGCTCTGAATCTCTCTGGTCTCTCCTAGGGTGTGTGTAGTTTGTTGGGTCACGCAGCTCGCACCATGTCCATGGCACCACTCATGCTGTTTGCTAGCTTCTGCTGTCTTCTTCCTTGGCTCGGACACGCCATCGTCGACCAGAGCCTAGTACTAGTATATATACATGGAGGATAGATTCTGCTGCTAGCTATGCGGGAGACTGCTTGACAGGTTAATTAGCTAGTTCATGGAAGCAAGCTAACATCCGTGGGATATGTATATATATGGAGGGGAGCATGCTAGAGGAGAGAAGCAGGGGAGGCCGGGACACAGACGATCGAGAGAGAGGCAGAGGACGCAGGAGCGAGAGGGTCTAGGTAGAGGAGGACAAGGCAGAGATAGTGGTGGTGGTGGGGAGAGAGGAGCACTACCCTGGGTAAAGAAAAGCAGGTTAAGCTAGCTATCACGAACTACTCGGTAGTGGGATCGAGGATTCTGCTGGCCTGTTTCTTTCACGCCCCTGCCCCCCCCCCCCCCCCCCACGATCCGATAGATCGATGACACAATAACATGTTTGGTAGAGTCCGGAATTGCTAAATATAGTGTTTCACAGAAAAATGAATCTACACTAATCCGATGATGTGATTTTCTGAAAGTAAAAAGTCTACTTAACCTCCTGCTGGTGGTAGTCTACCTCACCCCCTCACATATAAAATCAGGTATTTTACATCTTATTAAACTACGAAAAACCATCTAAATAACATCTAAGGCGGTTTCGCTGACGTCATATATTAAGTGAGTGCTCACATGTCTATGAGTCGATAAACAATAGTAAAAAGTCTATATAACGCCCTACAATATCAAGAGTTGATTATATAATCCCCTCAACTATAAAACCTGATATTATAGCTCTTAAAGCATATAATATTATTCAAATAACACCTCTGATGGTTTTGTAGGGCTGTTTGGACACCGTATGACAACCCTAATTTAGTTTTGGATAATTGATGAAACCTAAGCACTAACCTTTGTCATGAGTGATGATATGAGCTAGGTTGGTGCAATCCAAGTGAGGAGCATGGTGGCACCCAAATGGTGATGTCGATCACATGAAATGATGAGATGACCACATGTGATGATGATCAAGTGCTCAACTTGGAAAAAAAGAAAGAGAAAAACAAAACCCTATGAAGATCAAGGCAAAGGTATAATTAGGGATTTTGTTTTAGTGATCAAGACACTATAGAGAGTGTGATCACATTTAGGATAGATGAGCGTACTATTAAGAGGGGTTTCTAACTAGACAATTCGGTCATCTGGTGCCACTAGGTGTTGAACTTCATGCATTGCATTTAGGCTTAGTGCACATCGGAGAGCAAGCAAAAATATTTATCAAAAATAATTTGAGAAATGCTAACTTGACTCTAACATGTTTTGAGAAAACACTTTGAGAGTTAACCTCGCTTACGAAAAGTTGCTCTAAGTTGCCGTGGAACGAAACACGAAAGAATTTGCAACTTGGGGAAGGGGTTTGGTGCCTGCTTGGCACCGCCACCCATTGTCCGGTGGTACCGCCACCCCTAGGGCGGTGCCCATCTGGATCTAGCAAAGAAGGGCCGAGAGTGGTAGGTTTGGGGTGGTCACCGGACACGCTGGTGTACACCGCCATGGGCGCAGCGGTGCACCGCCTGGTCACCGCCACGGGCTATCCGGTGCCACCGCCGTTTTATTCCAGAGAGCAGGGGTTTTGGCATTGGTCACTGCCATGGGCACCGCCACTAGGATGGCGGTGCATCGCTATTTTATTCCAGAGACTTGGTCTCTCGGGGGCACAGCTGGGTGGTCATCGCCACCCCTAGGGCGGTGCCACCGCCACCCTTGAAAGCATCTAGGCCCCTAGTTGGGTTTCGGTGATTAATGACAATATGAGATTACTATGACTAACGTGTGTTTTGCAGAGGCAATTTGAGTTAGGTCATGGTAATGGAAATTGATTGGGCAATCATGGTTGTCATGCCCCTGTCGATGGAAATTGTTTTGGTTTTTAAAGAATGGACAACAAGGTTAAGGACGAACTAGTTCTAAGTGTCGTTTGGTGATGGAGAGACACTTAGAGTAGTTTAGGACTTTGTTTTTCCTTTGGCCATACTATTAAGGGGGTATGGACTAGTAGCTTGACCTAGGTAAGTCTAGTGAGTTAGATATGGTGCACACTTGTCAAACCTAGCACTAGGTAGCTTAGAAATAGCCCTAAGATCAATTGGAGTAAACTTTGTTCATATAGGATTTCAAGTTGGAAGTGAATGGAGGGTCAAATGATTGACCGGATGCTGGTTTGGTTGTGACCGGACGTTGGAGGGTGAGTCCGGTCAGTTCATTTGATCAACTGAAGTCGTCTGGTACTGACCGAACGCTGAGTGGAAGTGCACCGAACGCTTGGGTCCTGCGTCCAGTCAACTCTAGAGAGGTTCCAGAGAGACTTTTTCCTGACCGGACGCGTCCGGTGAGAGCTGACCGAACGCTGGTCAGAATTCGGTACCTGGCCAGACGCTGAACAGTGAAGTGACCGGACTCTAGGTGCCAGCGTCTGGTCAACATCAGTAAGGTTCCAGAGAGGGGTTTTCTTGACCGAACGCTGGTCAGAGTTCGGTCAGAGCTTAATGGCTCTTTCTGACACAGTGGCAGGTATAACTGACCGGAGCGCTCGGTCACCCTGACCAGAGCGTCCGGTCAACCCGCAGAATGCTGACTTAGCCTCCAAATGTTATGTTTTGAATGAGGGGGGTATAAATACTTACTCCACTCATCCATGGGAGGTCTCTTGCCCATTTGTTCAGCTAGGAAACACCTTTGGAGTGCAAGGGAGAGCAAGATCGTAGTGAGGTGATTGAGATTTGAGAATCCAAGATTAAGGAGTTCATTAGTGCATAGAGAGTAGCAAGTGTGCATCCACCCTTCTCATTAGGCTTGTCTTGGTCAAGTGAGAGTTTGTGCTTGTTACTCTTGGTGATCGCCATCACCTAGACAACTAGGTGGTGATTGGGAGCTTGGTGATCATCCGACAGAGCTTGTGGATGACCCAACTCAAGTTGTGAGCGGTTGTGGGCGATTCACCGCGACAGAGTATCAAAGAATCAGCCCGTAGAGAGCACTTGATTCTTGCGCGGATCAAGGGGGAGCTAGACCCTTGCGTGGGTGCTCCAACGAGGACTAGTTGGGAGTGGTGACTCTCCAATACCTCGGAAAAACATCGTTGCGTTCCTTTTCCTCTCTTTACTTTGAATATTTATATTTGAGCAATTCATTTCATGTCTTTATATTCCTAGAATTGTCATGCTAGAGTAGGATTAGAACCTAGGGTGCAAAACTTTTGTGCGTGAGAACAATAGAAACATATTCTAGGCACAAGGGGTGAAGTTGGCTAAGTGTAGGGCTTAATTATTGAAAGAATTTAGAATTAGCCCAATTCACCCCCCTCTTGGGCATCTTGATCCTTTTAATTGGTATCAGAGCCTTGTGCTCGCTAAATTAGGCTTAACCGCCTAGAGCAAGATATCCCACGGGGATGGACCCCTCCTATCTTTGAGGGAGATGATTTTCCTTATTGGAAAATTCGTATGGAGGCTTATCTAGAAGCTTTAGATGTTAGAGTTCTTAGAGCCACCTTACAAGGCTTCCCAAAACCTAAGGATCCCATAAACATTCAAGGCGATGAAGTTAATTATGAGAAGTGGAATGCAAAGGCTAGAAACACACTCTTTAGAGGCCTTTGCAAAGATGTTTTTAACCATGTGCGGAACCACAAAGACACCCATGCACTATGGTCGGACATTTATGCGCTCTATGAGAGAACCAAGAGTGAGCGTGAGGAACGCTACCATCTTGTGATGAAAAGCTTAATTCATTTGAGATGCTTCCTAGAGAAAATGCCAATAAGATGTACTCACGCTTGAATGTTCTTATAGAGGAAGTCAATGGGCTTGGACTCACACAAATGCAACCCTCCGATGTTGTAAGAAAGATCTTGAGTGTGCTCCCCATTGACAAATATGGGCATATTATGACGGTGCTTCATTAAGGTGATCTTTCCACCGCTACACCAACTCAAATATTAGGAAAGATCAATGCACATGGGATGTACATGCACATCACTCCACAAGATGGCTCTTCTTCCACCAAGAAGAAAGATTTGGCATTCAAGGCTAGCCAAGAGAAGAGGGGCAAAGCAAGAGTTGATCATGATAGCTCAAGTGATGATGAGATTAATGATGCAAGTCTTGCTCTCATGGTGAGAAGAACCGTCAAGATGCTCAAGAAGCTCAACAAGAATGGTGTCAAGTTTGATGGCAGGAAGAAGAATTTCTTCACTAGCAATAGAAGGAAGTCCATCTCCGAAATGGATTGCTATAATTATGGAGAACTTGGTCATCTAGCTCATCAATGCCCCAAATCCAAGAAAGACAAGTACAAGAAGAAGTACAAGGGCAAGAAAGACGACTCAAGTGATGAAGATGATGATGAGAAGAAGAAGAACAAGCCATATAAGAAGAAGGATGGCAAGAAGAATGAATATCACAAGAAAAAGAAGAATGGCAAGGCATACATTGTTGGTGATTGGCTCACAGATATTGAATCATCAAGTGGCTCATCCGATGATGAAAGTGAGAATGAGAACGAGAAGGTGGCCGCTATTGTAATTGATTCTTCACCATCTTCACCGCCACCGCCACCATCATCCTCTACACATCTATGCCTTATGGCCAAGGGTGAACGAAAGGTACAAAAGGGTGATGATAGTAGTGGTGATGATAATGCTAGCGATGATGAAAGTGGTAGTGATAGTGATGAAGAATTTGAATCACCTTCTTATGATGATCTTGTCAAGTTGCTAAACCAATACACTAAA